GAATGAAATAAACTTATTTCATTTAAAATAAGCTGTTTTCATCTAATTTTTTTTTTTTTTTTTTTTTTATACTTAGATTTAAGTGACATGTATAGCTTTATATTAAATTAATATTAGGTGATTTAAGTAATAAAAAAAAGTATTGTCTAAAAAATTAGTTATTATGAATCTAGATAATTTAAAATTCCAATATAGACATTTCCGAGAGTTAAAAGATCAACTTCATATAAATAGATAAATGATTATAATAAATTTATTTTTAATATTTATTTATAACAATGTTTATAATGTTAGATTATATTATATACTAATAAATTGATAATACTGTTATTCATCTATGAATCTTAAGGTTTTTTTTTATATGAATATAGATATATATTAATTAATTAAATATTTATATACATATATATATATATTAATCTTAACTTGGTATATCGTTTAATTATCTTTAATATTTATATAAAAAAAAAAATAAATTTACATTTAAAATAAATTTATGAATAAAATATTTATAAATAAACTTAATATTTTTATAAAATTTATATAAAAAAAAAAAAAAAAAAAAAAATTAGATGAAAATTGAAATATTAATTAAAGTTTTAATTTATAATATAATTTTTTTATATTATTTAATTTAATTATTATTTCAATTTTCATCCTAATTTTTTTTTGTTATTTATATTTAATTTGATTAATTATTTTAATCATAAATTAAATTAAATAATTGTTATTAAAATTAAAGGTTAGTTGATTCTTGTAATAAGTTTAAGTTCATTTAATTTTTGTAATGAAAAACGGCATATTACTTAGGGGGTAATTGTTGACCAGGAGGAATTACTAACTGGTTTTACTTAAGTTTAATCTAACTTTTTTATTTTATTGATTAGATAATATTATTTAGATTAATATTTATGTTTATTATTGTTTTATATGTATTTAATTATTTGTTAATATTAAAGTTTTATTTTGGCTTTGTATTTTATTATTGATTTATTTTATATGTAAGTTTTTGCGTGAGTTTTTGCTTATTTGAATAATAAGTAAATTTTAATTGTATTCTCAGTAAATAGTTTTATTAATCAAAGAAATTTGGAAATAGTAATTTCATAGAGTATTGGCTAAATTTGTGCCAGCAGCCGCGGTTACACAAATAATGCGAATAAAATTTGTTCAGTGTGAGTTAAAATTTATTATAATAGAATAGTATTAAATTTATTAGGTGAAATTTTAAATTTAAAAATTTTTTATAGGAAGTTTTTGAGGCTTGTAAATTTTAGTAATAAACTAGGATTAGATACCCTATTATTTAAAATGTAATTTAATCACTAAGGTAGTAGTAGTTATGTTCTTGAAACTTAAAAAATTTGGCGGTATTTTAGTCTATTCAGAGGAACCTGTCCTGTAATTGATAATCCACGATGTACCTCACTTAAATTTGTTTTTCAGTTTATATACCGTCGTTATCAGAATATTTTATTAGAATAATAATTTTCTATAATTTTTATAAGAATTTATATCAGATCAAGGTGTAGCTTATGTTTAAGTAGAGATGGGTTACAATAAATTTATTTAAACGGATCTAAATTTTAAATGTTTAGTGAAGGTGGATTTGATAGTAAAATTTTAAAGATTGTAGATTTGATTTTAGCTCTATAATATGCACACATCGCCCGTCGCTCTTGTTATTAAGGCAAGATAAGTCGTAACATAGTAGATGTACCGGAAGGTGTATCTAGAATGACAACTTAAAGCTTATTAAGTAAAGCATTTCATTTACATTGAAAAGATTTTTGTGCAAATCAATATAGGTTGATTTAAAATTTGTTTATTAATTTATATTGTTTTTTGATATAATATATTAAAAATAATTATTTAATTAAATGTTTTAGTAATTTTTAATGAAAAAATAATGTTAATAATAGTTTATTAGTATTGTGAAAGATAACTGAAATATTTTGAAAAATTTTTATAGGAAAAGAAAATTTAATTTATTGTACCTTGTGTATCAGGGTCTATCAAATAATTAATATTTAAGAATATTAATCTCGATTTTATAAGAGTTAATAATTTATGAAATTTAATGTGTCAAAATTATTTTAAATAGATTATTAGAAATGAAATGTTATTCGTTTATAAAGGTATCTAGTTTTTTTAGAAATAAATTTAATTTACAAATTTTTGATTTTTTGGTTATTTATTTAATTGGAAAATTTATAAATTTGAATATTTTAAGGGATAAGCTTTAAGATAAATTATTAAAAATTAATAATTTTATTATAAGACGTATGCTTAGAATTAGCAATCGTTATAAAGTTTGTTATAAATTATTTTATGTATTATATTATTTATTATATTTTAATTTATTTATAAAAATTTTTTCATGGATTTTGTATGAAAAGAAATAATGATGGAATTAGTATATTTTTATTGTTTATGTAATTTTATATGTTAGGTTTATATAAAGAACTCGGCAAATATTTTACCCGCCTGTTTAACAAAAACATGTCTTTTTGAGTTATTTTTAAAGTCTGACCTGCCCACTGAAATTATTTAAATGGCCGCAGTATTCTAACTGTGCAAAGGTAGCATAATCATTAGTCTTTTAATTGAAGGCTGGAATGAACGGTTGGACGAGGTATAATCTGTTTCATATAAATTTATAATAGAATTTTATATTTTAGTTAAAAAGCTAAAATATAGTTAAAAGACGAGAAGACCCTATAAATCTTTATATTTTATGTTGTTTAAATTTTTTAGGATTGGTTTATTTTTATAAGATAAAGTATTTTGTTGGGGTGATATTAAAATTTAATGAACTTTTAATTATTAAAAATCATTAATTTATGAGTTATTGATCCGTTAATAGCGATTATAAGATTAAGTTACTTTAGGGATAACAGCGTAATTTTTTTGGAGAGTTCATATCGATAAAAAAGTTTGCGACCTCGATGTTGGATTAAGATAAATTTTTAGGTGTAGCCGCTTAAATTTCAAGTCTGTTCGACTTTTAAATTCTTACATGATCTGAGTTCAGACCGGCGTAAGCCAGGTTGGTTTCTATCTTTAATACATTATAATATCTTAGTACGAAAGGACCAGATATTAGAATAATAAAATTTTATATATAGAATGTGACTAATTATTTACTACCTTGGCAGATTAGTGCAATAAATTTAGGATTTATTTATGTAATTTATATTACAGGCAGTACTTGTTTTTTATAGAACTTATTCTATCAGTTGTTGGAAGTTTAATTTTGGTAGTTTGTGTATTAGTAAGAGTGGCTTTTTTAACTCTTTTGGAGCGGAAGGTTTTAGGTTACATTCAAATTCGAAGGGGGCCTAATAAAGTTGGTTTAATAGGTATTCCCCAACCTTTTTGTGATGCGATTAAGTTATTTACTAAGGAACAAACTTATCCTCTTTTGTCAAATTATATTTCTTATTATTTTTCTCCTATTTTTTCTTTATTTTTGTCTTTGGTAGCTTGGTTGTGTATTCCTTTATTTGTAAAGTTATTTTCATTTAATTTAGGATTGTTATTTTTTTTGTGTTGTACTAGTTTGGGGGTTTATACTGTTATGATTGCTGGTTGATCTTCTAACTCTAATTATGCTTTGTTGGGAGGATTGCGAGCTGTGGCACAGACTATTTCTTATGAAGTTAGAATGGCACTGGTTCTTTTGTCATTTGTTTTTTTAATTGGAAGTTATAATATTTTAGATTTTTATTATTATCAAAAAATAATTTGATTTTTGGTGATTTTGTTTCCCATTAGATTGGTTTGATTTTGTATATGTTTAGCTGAGACTAATCGTACTCCCTTTGATTTTGCGGAGGGTGAATCAGAATTAGTATCTGGGTTTAATATTGAATACAGAAGTGGTGGTTTTGCTTTAATTTTTATAGCTGAGTATGCTAGAATTTTATTTATAAGAATATTATTTTGTGTAATTTTTTTGGGTTGTGATGTTTTTAGTATTATGTTTTATGTAAAGTTAACATTTATTTCATTTATATTTATTTGGGCTCGTGGGACTCTTCCTCGATTTCGGTACGATAAACTTATATATTTAGCTTGAAAGAGTTTTTTACCGTTTTCATTAAATTTTTTATTATTTATTATTGGACTAAAACTATTGTTGATTTATTATATGTGGTTAATAAAATTAAGTAAAGTTAATAGAAAGGTTGATTTTCTATCTTATGTTTTCAAAACATATGCTTATTCAAGCTCATTAACTAATTAATTAGGTTGTCTCATCATTTATTTACTAGTGGATTAATAATATAATAGAGGAAATAAATAATAGTTAAGATTTGTCCTACTAGTACATAAGGCTCTTCTACTGGTCGTGCTCCAATTCAGGTCAATAATATTACTGTTACGACTATAATTCAAAATAGGATTTTGTTGATTGGGTAGAATTGAATCCCTCGGAAGTTTCTTAGATGGTAGAGGGGTAGGATTGCTAAAATTGCAATTGATAATACTAGAGCAATTACTCCCCCAAGTTTATTGGGAATAGAGCGAAGAATTGCGTAGGCGAACAGGAAGTATCATTCTGGTTGAATGTGAACAGGGGTAACTAGTGGATTAGCAGGGATAAAATTATCTGGGTCTCCTAATAAATAGGGGTTAGTTAATGTTAGAATAACTAGCGATGCAATTATAATAATAAATCCTACAATATCCTTGTATGAAAAGTATGGGTGGAAGGGGATTTTATCAATATTTGAGTTTAATCCAATAGGATTGTTGGATCCTGTTTGATGTAGGAATAAAAGATGAATTAGAGTTATTGCTAATACAATGAATGGTAGGATGAAGTGGAATGTAAAGAATCGTGTAAGTGTGGCGTTGTCTACTGCGAATCCTCCCCATACTCATTGAACTAGGTCAATTCCTAAGTAGGGGATGGCTGATAGTAGATTAGTAATAACAGTAGCTCCTCAAAAGGATATTTGACCTCATGGTAGGACATACCCTATAAATGCGGTTGCTATTACTAGAAATAAAATTAATACTCCTACTAATCAGGTAGGTTTAAATAAATAAGACCCGTAATAAATTCCTCGTCCGATGTGTAAATAGATGCAAATGAAGAAAAATGATGCACCGTTAGCATGAAGAGTTCGTAGTAATCATCCGTAGTTGACGTCTCGGCAGATATGATTTACACTATTAAATGCTAAGTTAATGTCTGCAGTGTAGTGTATAGCGAGAAATAGGCCTGTTAGAATTTGAATAATTAAACATAGGCCTAATAAGGATCCAAAATTTCATCATGCTGAGAGGTTAATTGGGGCGGGGAGGTCGACTAGAGCATTGTTTGCAATTTTAAATAGGGGGTGTTGTGTTCGTAAAGGTTTATTCATTAGTTTATTTGCCGAAGGGGCCCGTAGAATAGCTTAGTAATTTTTACTACGGCAATTAATGTAATTAATAAGTAGTTTATTAATAGGATAGTGATAAAATTTGTTGGTAAATTATATAGTTTGTGAAGATTTAAAGAGTTTTCAGGAATAGTTAGAGTTAAATTGTATATGGGGTGCATTTCTAGGTTTTGAATAAAGAACGATGTGGATGATTTGTCTATGAATATAGTAGTTAGCGTTAATATTAATATAATTATAGTAGAAATAGTTGTTAATTTTATTGACAAAGAAAATATTTCATTTGATGCTAATGAGGTTACGTAGATGAATAATACAAGTATTCCTCCTAGAAAGATTAAAAATAATACATAGGAAAATCAGAATCTTTTAGCTATTAATCCAGTGATTAAACAAATTTGTAGGGTTTGAATTAATAGTATTAAACCTATCGCTAAGGGGTGGTTTATTTGAATAAAAATTAATCCTGAGATTAGTGTGGAAGAGTATAGTAGTAATTGTATAATATCAGGAGGTAGTTTATTTAAAATATTAATTTTGGGGATTAATGATAAAGTTATTTCTTTTCTCTTGAAGTTTTAAAAGATAGTTTCTTATTTTTGGTTTACAAGACCAATGTTTTCATTAAACTATTAAAACTAATGTTAATAAGTTTATACTGGGGGTTACCTTGTTTTTTATTTTTAATAGGAATTTTTGTGTTTGTTTCTAATCGTAAACATTTATTATCAATGCTTTTGAGCTTAGAATATATTGTGTTAAGATTATTTTTTATTCTATTTATTTATTTAAATTTAATAGATTACAGAAGATTTTTTAGCATGATATTTTTAACTTTTAGAGTATGTGAAGGTGCTTTGGGGCTTTCTATTTTAGTTTCTATAATTCGTACTCATGGGAATGATTATTTTCAGTCGTTTAATGTATTACAATGTTAAAATTTATTTTTATAATAATTTTTATTAGCCCTATTTGTTTTATGAATGGGTTATTTTGAATGGTTCAAAATTTATTATTTATTGTGACCTTTGTTTTTATTGCCTTAAATTATTGTACTAATTATTTTGTGGGTATTTCTTATTTTTTGGGAATTGACGTTATTTCTTATGGTCTTATTTTGTTGAGATTTTGAATTTGTGTGCTTATGATTAGTGCTAGTGAATCTGTTTATAAGTATAATAACTATAAGAATTTATTTTTATTTAATATTTTAATTTTATTAGTTTTTTTAGTATTAACTTTTAGAAGAATGAATTTGTTTATGTTTTATTTATTTTTTGAAAGAAGTCTAATTCCGACTTTATTTTTGATTTTGGGTTGGGGGTATCAACCGGAGCGTCTTCAAGCAGGTGTTTATTTATTGTTTTATACTTTGTTAGTTTCTTTACCTATACTGGTTGGAATCTTTTATTTATACAATAATTTAAATACAATAAATTTTTATTTATTAAGTAATTATATATTTAATTATGATTTGTTATATTTATCTTTAATTTTGGCTTTTTTAGTTAAGATACCTATGTTTTTAGTTCATTTATGGCTTCCCAAAGCTCATGTTGAAGCCCCTGTTTCAGGGTCAATGATTTTGGCCGGGATTATGCTGAAGTTAGGGGGGTATGGGCTGTTGCGTGTTTTTCCTTTTTTGCAATTAATAGGTGTTAAATATAACTATGTGTGGGTTAGAATTAGACTGGTTGGAGGAGTTTTAATTAGTTTAGTTTGTTTGCGTCAGACTGATTTAAAGGCTTTAATTGCTTATTCATCCGTTGCGCATATAGGGATTGTTTTAGGGGGCTTAATAACTTTAACATATTGGGGTCTTTGTGGTTCTTACACTTTGATAATTGCTCATGGGTTGTGTTCGTCGGGGTTATTTTGTTTGGCAAATATTACATACGAGCGATTAGGGAGTCGAAGATTACTAATTAATAAGGGCTTATTGAATTTTATGCCTTCTATAACTTTGTGATGGTTTTTATTAAGAGCTTGTAATATAGCTGCCCCCCCGTCTTTAAATCTGTTAGGGGAAATTTCTTTGTTGAATAGAATTGTAAGTTGGTCTTGGGTAACTATGGTTTCTTTGTCTTTGTTATCTTTTTTTAGAGCTGCTTATACTTTATATTTATATGCTTATAGTCAGCATGGTAAGATTTTTTCGGGTGTCTATTCATTTAGAGGGGGTAGGATTCGTGAGTTTTATTTATTATTTCTTCATTGATTTCCTTTAAATTTGTTAATTTTAAAGAGAGATATGTGTTTATTTTGGCTTTAGATCTAAATAGTTTATTTAAAATATTGATTTGTGGTGTCAATGAAATGAGGTTGTCATTTTAGATCATGAAATATTTATCAATTTGTAGAATTAGATTTTTAATTTTATTTGTTATTAGAATTAGTTTTTTTACTTCTAGTTTAGTATTTTTATTGAATGACCAGTCTTTATTTTTAGAATGAGAAGTTGTTAGTTTAAATTCAACTAGAATTGTAATAACCTTTTTGTTTGATTGGATGAGATTGTTGTTTATGTCTTTTGTTCTGTTAATTGCTTCTTTAGTAATTTATTATAGAAAGGAGTATATGAGAGGAGATATAAATATTAATCGGTTTATTATGCTGGTTTTAATATTTGTGTTGTCTATAATATTATTGATCATTAGTCCTAATTTAATTAGCATTTTATTGGGGTGAGATGGATTGGGGCTGGTTTCTTATTGTTTAGTAATTTATTTTCAAAATATTAAGTCTTATAATGCTGGTATGTTAACTGCTTTATCTAATCGTATTGGGGATGTAGCTTTTTTATTAGCAATTGCTTGAATACTAAATTATGGGAGTTGAAATTATATTTTTTATTTAGAAAGCATGAAAAATAGAATTGAAATGGAGGTTATTGGTGCATTAATTGTATTGGCTGCTATGACTAAGAGTGCTCAGATTCCATTCTCTTCTTGATTACCGGCGGCTATAGCGGCCCCTACCCCTGTTTCGGCTTTAGTTCATTCTTCTACGCTGGTGACTGCTGGAGTTTATTTGTTGATTCGATTTAATGTTTTATTGAGAGGCAGATGATTGGGGGATTTATTACTATTATTGTCTGGGTTAACGATATTTATAGCAGGGTTAGGAGCTAATTTTGAGTTTGATTTAAAAAAGATCATTGCTCTTTCAACATTAAGTCAGTTAGGTTTAATAATGAGAATTTTATCTATAGGATTTTATAGGCTTGCTTTTTTTCATTTATTGACTCATGCTTTGTTTAAAGCTTTACTATTTATGTGTGCTGGTGCTATTATTCATAATATAAATAATTCTCAAGATATTCGTTTAATAGGGGGATTAGGTGTTTATATGCCTTTGACTTCAGGATGTTTTAATGTAGCTAATTTAGCGCTGTGTGGAATACCTTTTTTGGCGGGGTTTTACTCTAAGGATCTAATTTTGGAGGTTGTTTCTTTAAGTTATATTAACATATTTTCTTTTTTTCTTTATTTTTTTTCTACGGGGCTGACTGTTTGTTATTCTTTTCGGTTAGTGTATTATTCTATAACTGGGGAATTAAATTGTGGCTCTCTTAATATATTGAGAGATGAGGGTTGGATTATGTTGCGAGGTATGAGCGGTTTGTTAGTAATGAGAATTGTGGGGGGTAGTATATTAAGATGGTTAGTTTTTCCAACTCCTTATATAATCTGTTTACCTAGTTATTTAAAATTATTAACTTTATTTGTTTGTTTGGTAGGAGGATTGTTTGGGTATTTTATCTCTAATGTTTCTTTATTTTATTTTAATAAGTCTTTGCATAATTATTTGGTTAGATATTTTTCTGGCTCTATGTGATTTATACCTTATATTTCAACTTATGGTATTATTAATTATCCTTTAATATTAGGACTAATAGTGTGTAAGACTTTTGATCAGGGGTGGTCTGAATTTTTAGGGGGTCAAAATTTATATCGTGAATTAGTTAAGTATTCTCAGCATGTATCTATTATGCATAACAATAATTTGAAAATTTATCTTTTATTGTTTGTTTTATGAATTATTTTCTTGTTTTTCTTTTTAAATTTTTATTCAAGTAGCTTAAGGTAGAGCGTGACACTGAAGATGTCGGGGTAATTATTTAATTCTTGGATGTAGTGCATTATATTTAGTAATTTATAAAAAGAAAATTTTATTTTTACAGTGAAAATGTAATGTTTTTGTTAAACTATATAAATAGAAGTATAAATGGAGTTTAACCATTAAAAGATAAAAGTTAGCAGCTTTTTCTTGAACGTCGTACTTCCTTAATTGGAGATTGGTCTCAGTTATATCATTAACAGTGATACGCCTCTTTTTGGCTTCAATTAATTATTAAAACTTTAATTAAATTAATATTACTTTATAAATCTATAGAATAAGGGTACGTAGCACCTAAGATTAGGTCGAAACTAATTGCAATAAATCGCTTCATATTCTGGGGTTGATTTATAAGGTAGATTGATATTTCAATACTTTTTGAATGCAAATCAAATGTTATAATTAACTACAACCCTAGTTTGATCAATTTAATATTCCTTGACTTCATTCATGATATAGTCCGATAATTAGAATAATAATAAATACAATTCTTGTTGTGGTCCATGCTATGATATTAGAAATTGAGATAATTAATACTATAGGTAAAATTAGGGCAATTTCTACATCAAAAATTAAAAAAATAATTGTGATTAGGAAAAATCGAAGGGAAAAAGGTAGGCGTGAAGAGGATTTAGGGTCAAATCCGCATTCAAAGGGAGAACATTTTTCACGGTCTGTTAGGGCTTTTTTTGATAAAATAGAAGCTAGCATTATTACTGCGGTGGTGATGGCGATTAAAATTGATGAAGTAATTAAAACTGAAAAAATTATCTATACTACTAATTAGTAGACCTTATGATTGGAAGTCAAACATACTTATATACTATATAGATAGAAATTATTTATCCTCCTCATCAATAAATTGAGATATAAAGGAATAGTCAGACAATGTCTACGAAGTGTCAATATCATGCAGCTGCTTCAAATCCAAAATGGTGGATTTTAGAAAAGTGATTATTTAAATGGCGAATTAAACATACTAGGAGAAATGTTGTTCCAATTAGAACATGAATTCCGTGGAATCCTGTTGCTATGAAAAAGGTAGATCCGTAAACTGAGTCTGCGATGGTGAATGGTGCTTCAATATATTCGTAGGCTTGTAAGATAGTAAAATAAATTCCTAATAGGACTGTAAAGAATAATCCTTGTGTTGCTTGAGAGTGGTTGCCTTCTATTAATCTGTGATGGGCTCATGTTACAGTTACTCCTGAGGATAGTAGAATAGCTGTATTTAATAGAGGAATTTGGAATGGGTTGAAGGGTTGGATCCCTGCGGGGGGCCATGTGGCTCCGAGTTCAATAGCTGGAGAAAGACTTCTATGGAAAAATGCTCAGAAGAAAGATACAAAGAATAAAATTTCTGATAAAATAAATAAAATTATTCCTCAGCGTAACCCTAATGTTACGGGTAAGGTGTGTAACCCTTGGAAGGTCCCTTCTCGAGAAACGTCTCGTCACCATTGATATACTGTTAAGATAGTAATAATATTCCCTAAAGCAAATAATGAAATATCAAATTGATGAAATCACTTTACTAAACCTGAAACGGAGGTTATAGCTCCGATTGCTCCTGTTAGAGGTCAGGGGCTATAGTCTACTAGATGGAATGGGTGATTTGAGTGTGTTGACATTAATTTACTTCTCTAGAGTATAAAGTTCTTAGGACTGCAAATACATACGATTGGATAATAGCTACAGCTGATTCTAGAACTAAAAGAGCAATTTGACCAATTAATAGTAAAGAAACAATAGCATAGGAGAGGGAGGGACCGGTGTTTCCCAGTAGGGTAAGTAGTAAGTGTCCTGCAATTATATTGGCTGCTAGTCGTACAGCTAAAGTTCCAGGTCGAATAACATTACTAATGGTTTCGATACATACTATGAATGGTATGAGTACTGCTGGTGTTCCCTGGGGGACTAGGTGGGCGAATATGTGCTGTGTGTGATTAATTCATCCGTAAATTATAAAACATAACCATAAGGGTAGTGCTAATGTAAGTGTAAGTGTTAAATGGCTTGTTCTTGTAAAAATATATGGGAATAGCCCTATAAAGTTATTGAATAAAATCAATGAAAATAGAGAGACAAAGATAAAAGTTGATCCTGAGTGTCCTGATGGGCCTAAAAGAGTTTTGAATTCCTTGTGAAGGGTTATAAGAATTGAGTTTCAAAAAACATGTCATCGGGATGGTATTAATCAGTAAGCAGATGGAATGATAAGAAGGCCTAAAAATGTTCTTATTCAATTTAAGGATAAATTAAAAATACTTGATGAGGGGTCAAATACAGAGAATAGATTAGTTATCATTTTCAATTTAAAGAAGTAGTTGAATACTTACTTGAAGTTTTTGATTTAGGTGTTTTAGGGGTTACTGAGTAATAATTTATTACGCTAAACAAGATAAAAGTAATTGAAAAGATAATAAATAAGCTTAATCAACCAATAGGGGCTATTTGAGGCACTAAAAAATATTAAGCTTATTTAATAATTTTAGTTTGACATACTAATGTTATTTTTTAACTAATTTTTTTTTCATTAGAAGTAAGTGCTAATTTACTATAGAATGGTTTAAGAGACCAGTACTTGCTTTCAGTCATCTAATGAAAGTTATGAATTAGCTCTGTTAGTTATTCATTTGATAAAGTGATTTACAGGAAGACTTTCAATTACAATAGGCATAAAACTGTGATTGGCCCCACAGATTTCTGAGCATTGGCCGTAAAATAGTCCAGGACGATTTATTAGAAAATTAGTTTGGTTTAATCGACCAGGGGTCCCATCAACTTTTACACCTAAGGCGGGAACTGTTCATGAGTGAATTACGTCTGCTGCTGTGACTAAAATTCGAATTTGTGAATTTATAGGCAAAATAACACGATTGTCAACGTCAAGTAATCGGAATCCATCTGCGGTTAATTCATTTGTTGGCACTATGTATGAGTCAAATTCTACATTTATAAAATCTGAATATTCATAACTTCAGTATCATTGGTGCCCGATGGCTTTTAATGTGACTGAGGGTTCGTTAATTTCATCTAATAAATATAATAGCCGGAGAGAAGGGAAGGCGATGAACAGAAGGACGATCGCTGGAAGAATTGTTCAAATTATTTCAATGGTTTGACCGTGTAAAAGGTTTCGGTTGGTGTATGAATTGAAGAATAATATAAATATTAAGTAGCCCACTAATGTTGTGATTATTACTAAAATCATTAAAGCATGGTCATGAAAGAAGGTAAGTTGTTCTATAAGAGGAGAGGCTCTATCTTGAAGGCCAAGGGCAGCTCACGTTGTCATTAGTTTCTAATAAAAGTAAAATACTTTATATATGGAGCTTAAATCCATTGCACTAATCTGCCATATTAGATAATTAGTTAAAAGAGGCAGTTCTGAATAGCTGTGTTCAGCTGGAGGGGTGTTTTGAAGCCATTCAATTGAGGAGCTGAGTTGTATAGGGTAAATTACTTGTCGCTGTGTAATTAGACTTTCTCAAATAATGAATAGGAAGAATAAAATACCTAGTAAAGAAATAGATGACCCGATTGTAGATACTACATTTCAAGTTGTGTATGCGTCTGGGTAGTCTGAATATCGTCGAGGTATTCCCGCTAATCCTAAAAAATGTTGGGGGAAGAATGTTAAGTTTACACCAATGAATATAATAATAAATTGGCTTTTTAGTCAGGTTGGGTTTAGTACTAACCCTGTAAATAAGGGGTATCAATGAACAAACCCCGCTATAATGGCAAATACGGCTCCTATTGATAGTACGTAGTGGAAGTGAGCTACCACATAGTATGTATCGTGGAGGATAATATCTACAGATGAGTTAGCGAGAACAACCCCTGTTAATCCTCCTACTGTGAATAAAAATACAAATCCTAAGGCTCATAGTATCGCTGGGGAATAATTTAATTGTGTGCCATGTAAAGTGGCTAATCAACTAAAAATTTTGATACCTGTGGGGACAGCAATAATTATAGTGGCTGATGTAAAATAAGCTCGAGTATCTACATCTATACCTACTGTAAATATATGGTGGGCTCATACAATAAATCCTAAAAGACCAATTGCTAGTATAGCATAGATTATTCCTAGAGAGCCAAAGGTTTCCTTTTTCCCTGATTCTTGGCTGATAATGTGAGAAATTATTCCGAATCCTGGTAGGATTAAAATGTAGACTTCTGGGTGTCCAAAGAATCAAAATAAGTGTTGGTAAAGGATAGGATCTCCTCCTCCAGCGGGGTCAAAGAATGAAGTATTTAAATTTCGATCTGTTAATAGCATGGTAATAGCTCCTGCTAAAACTGGTAGTGACAGTAAGAGTAATAGAGCCGTTAGTACAACTGCTCAAACGAAAAGAGGCATTCGGTCGAATGAAATTCCTGTTGATCGTATGTTGATTACTGTTGTGATGAAGTTAACTGCTCCTAAGATTGAGGAAATTCCGGCTAAGTGTAATGAGAAAATAGCTAGATCGACTGATGCTCCTCCATGAGCAATAACAGATGATAGGGGAGGGTAAACTGTTCAGCCTGTACCAGCCCCATTTTCTACTATGCTTCTCACTAATAATAGTGTAAGGGAAGGAGGTAGTAACCAAAATCTTATATTGTTTATTCGTGGGAATGCTATATCTGGTGCACCTAGTATTAAGGGAACGAGTCAATTTCCGAACCCGCCAATTATAATAGGTATAACTATAAAGAAAATTATTACGAAAGCATGGGCTGTTACGATTACATTATAAATTTGGTCGTCTCCGATTAATGCTCCGGGGTGCCCTAATTCAGCTCGAACTAGGATTCTAAGAGAGGTTCCTACTATACCTGCTCAGGCTCCGAAGATGAAATATAGTGTTCCAATATCTTTATGGTTTGTTGAGAATAGCCATTGTCGCGATTAAATGGCTGAAGTTTAGGCGATAGACTGTAAATCTATTTATAAGAATTAATTCTTTTTAATCAATTAACAATTATAAATAGGGTTAATAAACAACTAAGTTGGGCCTTATAGTCAAAAATGACGTTAGACTGCAATTCTAAAGGAGTAATGAATTACTAAGGCTTAAAAGATTTATACTTATGTTTATAGCTTTGAAGGCTATTAGTTTAATTAACTTAAAGCCTTCTGCATAGTTTGTTTATAAGAATAAATAGATTGTGGAAATTAAAATTAGACTAAATGTAGAGATAAATGATATAATTAACATTATTTTAAATGAAATATTGTTAATAGTTGTGTTAACAATTCAGTTATTTTCATAATAGTTAAGTATAAAAGCCGCAAAACATAGCCGTAGATAAAAAAATAGAGTAACTAATGTTATAATTGTTATGATAGTTATTAATGTATATTGTCTCTTAAATACTAGAGACTGAATAACTAGTCATTTAGGTAAGAACCCGATGAACGGGGGCAATCCCCCTAATGATAATAAATTTAAAAATAGGGTGAATTTAAGGATTTTTGATTCGAAAAATGAATTAAATAGCTGGTTAATATGGGATATTTTGAAATTGTTGAATATAAAAGTTAAGCTGAAGGATAAGAATGTATAAAATGAGAAGTATACACATCATATTGATTCGTTTGCTTGCATAGCTGCTAGTATTCACCCTAGATGATTAATTGATGAATAAGCTATTAATTTTCGTAGGGAGGTTTGGTTTAACCCACCTAGGGATCCTACGATAGTTGAGGCGATAGTTGCTACTAAAAAGGTATTGTTTAGTGTTGTATAAGAAATTAATACTAGGGGCGCGATTTTTTGCCATGTTATTAGAGTGAGTGCATTTATTCAGGATAGTCCTTCTATAACATTAGGGAATCAAAAATGAAACGGTGCAGCACCTCTTTTTAATAATAGCGATGAAGTAATTATCAAGCTATTATAGGTAGGGCTATCTTGAATTAATGGGTGGTTGCCTAAGTAATTTATTATAATGGCGAATAGTAGAACTGCGGAGGCTATGGCTTGGGTTAAAAAGTATTTTAATGAGGCTTCTGTAGATATCAAATTATTATTATTTATTAGGGGGATAAATGATAATAAATTGATTTCTAACCCTATTCATGCACCTAATCAAGAATTAGATGAGACAGTAATGAAGGTTCCTGTTATTAAAATTAAAAAAAATATAACTTTTGCTGAATTGTTAAAAATTAAAAAGAAAAGGACTAGAACCTTTATAAATGGGGTATGAACCCAGTAGCTTAATTAGCTTATCTTTTTAATTATTTATTTAAACATTATGACATGCCTACGGTGCAACTATTGCATTTATATTAATGTTTTATTGTATAAGCGTATAGCATGAAGTAATAAATATATTTTGGTGTATGATGCACAAAAGTTTTTGATACTTTTAGAAATAGTTTAATTCTATTAAATATAATGAATGCAGTATTGACTGCATTATTTACCCTATCAAGGTAATCCTTTTATCAGGCAATTCATT